ATTCATGATGTTTAATCCCGCTGTTTAACCCCAATACACGGGGTTAAACAGCGGGGTTAAACATCATGAATGTAATCCTTAATATAAACAAAGGGCGCAATACATGCATTTAAGAGATAAAGTAATTAGATATATACCCGGCGACAGTTCATGCATAAAGTATTAAAGAGATATCTTCATAGTACGACTGGAGAAACAATAAGAGCTGTATGTCTATAGAGTATGTATAAGGAGACGCAAGATTAAAAAAACGCCCTGGGCCAACGAAGGATTTAACTAACGAACTCCACCCAGTATACGGCTTTCGAGTGGACAGATAGAGCAGGGCGTTCCCGGATTTTAACTACAGCACACAAAAATGACAAGATCAGACGTTACGCGACACTACACACTAACCAACAAAATAGTATTACAATCGCCAGGCGAAGGGAATCCCCACGGAACAACAAAAGGAAAACATGACTTTGGTCCAAAAGGGCAAGAGAAGCTTTATTAAAGTTTACAAACAGTCGACCCCGGGTACCTAGCTCGGCCGCCGAATTTTCGTTCGGAGCTGGTTGAGCGAGTGCCACCAACGCTACAACGCCACCTTGCTCAGGCAGAACTTGCAGTGGACATTGATCATCAACTTGATCGGTTTGCTGGTTATAGGGCGTTTGGAAACTGTACACCGTCTGCTTCAGCCATGAAATAGATTGAATAACTGACGAACTGAGGATATCTCAGTTTGTGTGGGTCGAACGACGGCCGATTGAAACTTGTTGGCTTGTTGAAACTTGTTGTGACAGGACAAAAATTGTTTGTTGTGGACAGGTCTGATAACAAGCTTGCTGCAGACTTGACAAAAACAACTCGCGACAGGTCTGTTGGAACAAGTTGGAACAGACCTGTTGATTTCAACAGACTTGCTGCAATATATCTCTTGTTAGTAATAGGTTTGTAGCGGGTTGTTTCAACAAGTCGCTACGGCTATGTTGTCAACAGCTTGCGACAGACCTGTTCCCGCAAGCCTGTTATACCGCCTGACGAAACCAACAGACCTGTCGCGCGACTTGTTGACAACTTGCCGCAAGCCGGTAAAATCAACAGCTTGCGACAGGCCTGTGAGATTTCTGGCTGTGTAGCCTGCCTCGTACCCAGGCGCTTACACGAAGTATTCAGGTAGGCATCCCCACTCCAATACTTCATGTAAACACGTCATATGGGTATCACTGTTTTTTTACAAAGAGACGCCTGGGTACGAGGCAGCTGTGTAGCAGTAAACAGACTTGATATGAAATCTGATAGCAAAAACTTGTGTTATATAATTAATTTACCTGTATGTCAATGAGACGCACATGTTTAATATCTGTCACCAGCCTAGTCCCAGGCTCTCTCTCTATTCGCTGCTTTAATATATTTAAAGTTTTACGCCTGGGTACCTTTAGCGGTGACGTCACACCTAGGTCCCAGTCTCGTACTACATCCACGTTTTTCGCGCTTGCTTCAGAACGACTGGGACTAGGCTGATCTGTCACCTGTGATTGCCCTTTAACCACTCGTCTTGGCTACTTTAATATATAATGTATTGCTTTCTCTCATTTCCACTCATGGTAAGAATCGATTCCTTACTGGCTTAAGGCCTTAAGCTCACAGCTCACTAGTCGCTGCGAGTAATAACTGTGCTTGATATATAATTTGTGCTATTTACTGTAGTTCTATTTGCTTTTAATGCCCACACCCTAGTTTACTATATATACAGCTGTCAGAGTATCTGTTACAAATAGAGATTTTTTCAATTCAAACAACTCGTGGGAACCGATCGCAGTTGAATCTACTCCGTATGAGAACTGAGGCTGGGCGTAAAAGTTTTAGATATCAAGGAGCACTCATTTTTAACAATCTACCAGCTGAGATAAGAAAGGAAGTATCAATTTTAATTTAAGATTTAAACACCATGCCAAGTCCGTAATGTAAACAAATCCTTTGTTTACATTTTGAACTGCTATCAGTTGTAAAATAAGACATACTAACTGAATATCTAACACTTTTCTGGTTCGTAAATGTATGTATGTATGTATGTATGTATGTATGTATGTATGTATGTATGTAAAGTATTTATTATAAAAATACCAGTTACATCATACGTGCAACTTTACAATAATTATGCATCCTACATACCATATGCTAAAATATGCTAGGTAAAAGTTCTAATAGGTTCTATAATGTTCTATATAAACTGAAATAGACATCTATTAATAAAAGATCTCTTATATCTCTCTGTTCGAATTTTAGGTAATATAAAGTTATGACCTCGCTTCCTGAGAGTTCTTGTCTTCTTAAAAATGAATATAAACTACTAAACTAGAGTACGTTTCAATTCAAAAAAGCTCGAAAGATGCAAAATTTGGGCAATGTTTATATCTGTGGGTCCCCTTTTGTTACGAACAGAACCACAGGCAGAACTGATGCGCAGCACAGACTTGGCATGGTCTTCAAGAATAGCTTCTTAACTTCGTGTTAAAAGCTGTAAACGTGCCACGTCATTGCAACAAAGCGCTGAACGGAAATGGTGTGATTTTAATAGTCCGTCTCGCGTCTTATTCTTCAGTGGGATTTTGTATCCGGTAGAGAAGCTCAATCTCCTTCATTCACGATCATTATCTTTCTCGAGATTTCCTCATCAAATATTGACGATAATTACAATGTAGTGTAGAAATGGTAAAATGGATAATATATAATTAAATATGCTGCTATAACTAGGTTGCAAGATATATAACATAACATGTCAACATGCTCTCGACTCGGATAGCGCAGTGCCCAAACTCTATCAAGGTATTGGGAATAATGATGTTTGTGATGGCCATTCATTTAAACAATGAATGCGAACAGCAGTACACAACACCAACACAGAAATAATATCATTGGGAATAATTCAGCGCAAACAGCGTAAGATTCATATAAGGTCAATAGGTCGTATAATTTACTATCTATATTTTAAGCTCGATAGTCTCACTAGGTTTTACCTACTGTTTCGATCCTCACGAAAAAAAGGATTATTAGGTTAGAATAATTCTAATTCTTAACATTCCGAACTCAAATACCATTAACCTAGAATTCATTTAAACAATGAATGCGAACAGCAGTATTCTTCTACAAATATATCATTATAATGTGAATCTTAATATTGAATGACTTACCAATATTTTGTTGACTTGATGGATGGCCAGGCAGGGATAATTGTTTGTTCCGTGTCACAAGGAATGTCGTGATTATTACACACACCGAAACTGTGGTTATTAAGTATTTATTCAGTGAATTAAGTCCTCTTGGTAGCTTCATCGCGTGAACTGTTCAGAACACTGGCAATTATCGCGCGCGTCTTGGTGAATTTCACAGTGAATTTTCTTCATACGCGCGCGATGTGGCAACCGTGATTTCATCAAACACAAGTCGAAATTTGACACTTCACACTTCGATGTTTACTTATAGGCATGCGTGTTTTTTTCGAAGGCGAGCTTCAATAGTCAACGAGTTTGCAAAACTTGCAATATGTACAGATAAGAGTATGGTTTTGAGCGCAATTTGGATATACCATGCACTAGTGAAAATAACACGAGTCTGAAAGACGAGTGCTATTTAAGGTCTTTGTAAAACTCACGAGCGCATGTTTATCGGCCTTTATCCAAATTTCACGAGAAACCATGCTACAATTTACATAAAAGTATTCGAGACAATCAAACTTGAACTTGACCAAGTGTGGAATCGAATCTTTCCGCACCACTAAATGCGGCCATGTTTGTTTTGAAAAAAGAATATTTTTAAATATTTACCGCCACAACTTAGCTCAATTTTGATTGATTCATGGTGATAACAGAAAAGTACACTGTAATTACAGATTTTTGCACTGTTGTTTGGGATTAACCACATTGAAATCAACCAATCCCCGATGAGTAATACTTTTATGTATGAAAAGTAAGGATAACCCATTTAACTTTTCCTTCATTTTTAGTCTTTTTTAATTTTTGAAAAAAGCGCTAACGAAAAAAGCCTTAAATTTTCGTCCATATTGTGCCCTTTTTTCATTTTTTAAAAAGGCTAAAATGGACAAAAAGTTAAGACTAACCCATTAACTTTTCCTCCATTTTTTGACACTTTTTCATTTTTCAAAAAGGGGCAAGAAAGGCAAAAAAAGTAACATTAAATAATCAAGTTAGCCTTAACTTTTCGTCCATTTTTAGCAGATTTTTCAATTTTTGAAAGAGGCAAAAAGTAAGGCTATATATAGCCTTAACGTTTCGTCCATTTTTAACCGATTTTTCAATTTTTGAAAAAGAGGGAAAAAATGGCAAAAAAAGTAAGGGTATAGCCTTAACGTTTCGTCCATTTTAACCGATTTTTCGAGGGAAAAAAAGGAAAAAAGTAAAGCTATATATTTAATTAATAAATTCGTCCATTTTTATCAGATTTTTCAATTTATGAAAAAAAGATGCAAAAAATGGAAAAAAGTAAGGCTATAGCCTTAACTTTTCGTCCATTTTTAGCCGATTTTTCAATTTTTGAAAAAGAGGCAAAAAATGGAAAAAAAAGTAATAAAAAGCCTTAACTTTTAGTACATATTTAGCAGATTTTTCAATTTTTGAAAAAGAGGCAAAAAAGTAAGGCTCCTTAACTTTTCGTCCATTTTAGCAGTTTTTCAATTTTTGAAAAAGAGGCAAAAAATGGCAAAAAGTTAAGGCTGTAGCCTTAACTTTTCGTCCATTTTTAGCAGATTTTTCAATTTTTGAAAGAGAGAAAGAAAAAAAGTAAAAAAAGTAAAGCTATATATAGCCTTAACTTTTCGTCCATTTTTAGCAGATTTTTCAATTTATGAAAAAGAGGCAAAAAATGGCAAAAAAGTAAGGCTATAGCCTTAACTTTTCGTCCATTTTTAGCAGATTTTTCAATTTTTGAAAAAGAGGCAAAAAAGTAAGGTTATAGGCTTAAATGTTCGTCCATTTTTAGCCGATTTTTCAATTTTTGAAAAAGAGGCAAAAAATGGCAAAAAAAGTAAGGCTATATGTAGCCTTAACTTTTAGTCCATTTTTAGCAGATTTTTTAGCGGAAAGGACGACGTTGTGTTCTGTACAATTGTGGTTCAAGTCGTACATATATCATTTTCTGACTTGAAATGCGTAGATTATTAATTACACAAGCTAGCGAAAAAAGGTTAAAGTGGATATGTTGCGTTAGGCTTCCAACAACGAGCAAGTGGTATAGTGGTAAAGACTCCATGTTGTGTAATGTAACATTGTGGTTCAAATCCTACCGACGCCATTTTGTGATTCAAAAATGGTTGAATTTTAATACTACAAGCTAGAGAAAAAACAAGATGAATAAGTTGCGTTATGCTTCAAACAACGAGCAAATGGTCTAGTGGTAAAGGCAACAGGTTTGTGTAATGCACCATCTAGTGTTCAAGTCCTAATGAAGTGCTTTTGTGTCGTATATTAATTACACAAGCTAGAGAAAAAAGGTTAAGGTGAATAAGTTGCCGTAGGCTCCCAACAACGAACATTAATAAAATTGCAAAGTTTGGTTGTGCAATGTTGTAAAATGTAGAAAATATAGCCTTCCAAAGTTTGCAAATTTTGTATACTTTTGCATTGCAATTTTCGCATGCAATACAAAAGTATACAAAATTTGCAAACTTTGCAAGGCTATATTTTCCGTAGCTATGGTGACTTATTTGCATCAAGGCCGGATTTTGAGTGGAGTTGTGTGGAGAGATGCGCACCCTCCCCTGAGATCGTTTTGCATTTCCCCTGAGAGTTTTTGCACCTCCTGAAAGGTCATGCACTTCCCCTTGGGAAAGTTTCAATGATGGAACAAAGTGAAAATGTGATGGTTGCTTAGGATCTACACTTGTGACGTAAGAAAGTTTTCTTTGGAAAATTGAAACAGTGATAGCCATTCGTCTCATAGTCTGCTCGCAGACTGCATCCCGCTCCCGCGCAGGATTACAGTCTGCTGTCATTCGACGCTAATAATGCCGTACAGCTACCGACGAAATATGATCGGCAGTTTTTCATTGGTTCGTTTCAAAATTATACTTGCATAAATTTGCTTAGCTAATTACGAGACGAGTATACCGGTTTTACCGATTAAATAAAGTTTCTGGGTGCTGTTAGGAAAGATATTACCACACAAAAGAGCATTTAATTTTTTGGGATCAATAAATTTGGTAGAATTTACAAATCTGGCATATTTTTTTGCGAGTTTACATTTCGATTTCGTTGTAT